AGAGGCTCAGGACAATCTTGGGCTGAAATTCCCAAATCAGCCTTTGAATTTGAGTACTTAATACCCTCTTTTGGGTATTGTGCTATATGCACCTTCAACACCAACAGAAGTCAAGAGAGGCTGCAGCTGAGCATTGCCTTGAATAAAAATCATACCACAGGGTAGGTAATACTGAACACCCCAAAAATGAATAACCCCAAATTAGAGCCAGATTTTGACATTGTAGCTCTTAGACTTCTTTCAATTTCCATGTGTATAAAATGGGGATAGGAATTGCCTATTTTTGTAGGGGCTTTATATTAAGTACAATATGACCTTTATTTTACAACTGCTGTGAAGGACAACAAATAAGCACAATAACAGAGGCCTTGGAAAATTAAGGTAATTTTCAGCACAACAGACACTGGGAGACGTGTGTTTTAGAAAGCACAGAGTTTCTGAAAATTCAGTTTGGGAAAACTGAAGTGGAACTATAGGGCTTTACTGCAGTTATCTAAAAACATGAAACAAGTCATTTTGGAGTTATGCTGTGAACTGATTTTGCTGGACTCAGCAACGTGAGTGCTGTTTTCTTGTAGGCTGAGACACTGCCTCACTCCTCCATCCCCAGTGTGCATAAAAACATGAATTCTAAAGAAAAACAAATCTCAGATGAAAGATGTATTTGTAAAAGTGGCTGAGCTTTCTTTGCTTGTTTGGCTCATGTTAACACTAGTAAACAGATTTGACCATCACTGAACAATGACACCTGTGCTTTTGCACCTTGCTCTCTGGTGTCTGCAAACGAAACTGAAGTAAATTAAGTCTCCCGAGAGCTCTGACACCTTGTTATCAGCATTTTGAAAACAGTCGTGGAAACATCAAAATAATGCTTTGGCAAATGGACAGCTTGTCCCCTATGTCTGATAAACAATTCCTTGTTAAAGTCAGAAAAGAGACGAACTGGTTACCATTTTGCATACTTCAGTGTATGCATACGTATGTATATACCTCCTACATGAGTGGTGGTGAAATTTGTGATCAGTTACATGGATGCTGCAAAACCTCTTCACCTGCAGCCTTCCCAATTCATCCCCAGGCAGTTATTCTAAGATTCCAAAGCCCTGAGCAAATTCAAACACATAATTACTTTTTTATATGGAGACAGCAATAGTAAAAAAGTCCTTAAGCCTGGGCATGCTTTACTGAACCTTTGTACCCATTTACACCAAGGCAACAAGCACGTATAAGTCTCAAAAGCTCTAAAATGGAACAGTAGAAATGGAACTTCGCAATAACAGAAGTCAGATGGTCAGGCACTGGTGAACTAACAGCCAAGAACAGTCATAAGATGCAGTACAGTGGTGATGATGGAATACCTAAAATAGGAATAGCTGTTTCGGTTGTATAAAGATACTATAAAAAACAGTGATAAAGTGTTGGCAGAGACTGCAGGTTCACATCTATCCAAATAACTGCCTAACTTCTTACACTTACTATCATTTGAGTTTATACACCAACTACAGATTACTGTGATGAATAAAATGAAATGGAGACCCTTTTTAAACAAAAACACCAAGAAAAGGAGTTGTGGTCACTGTGTCTTACGACCAATTTATGGAGGGTACTTATGATGAAGGCAGAGCTGGGCAATGTGGGTATGGTAAAACTAATGTTTTTCAGTTTATCTGAATAAATTCTAACGCACTGCATCCTTACAAACCCTCCAGAAGAATAACTTGGCATATACAGGAGGCCAGTACAGTAAGTAGGATACAATACATTCTTATGTCCAAATGCTGATGAAATTCTGGTAACACATACAAGACTCATACTTTCCCTGGAGCAGATACTGAAAGTGGTCATAACCTGGTGATGGCATAACAATGTTCTTCTTTCTTCTCCCTACATTCAAATTTGGGCCTGTACCCTTAGGAAGGCAAATGGTTCTGTTATACATGCGCAGGTCAATAGATCTTCTGTGGTCTGAAAGTTTCCTTCGTGCTCACATGTGGTGTTTACATCGTTGGAGTATCCCCACAGTTGCATATTCACTTTAGTGTTACAGACCCCTGGTTAGGGACTGTTCAGCGTTGGCCAATCAAACTCTGCATCTCCAGAGAGATGTTCAGCAGTTTTGATATTCATCCTAACTCTTCTGGGTCACCTCTAATCATGATTGCCACATTTTTATTCATGTGACTGGCAGCATTTAATCCAGTGGCTGTATTGTAGAGAGGCAACTTCTGCATGATTTTAGTTTATTAGGAGCTGCAAGGTGGCCATGTAGTTGGTGTTTTCTGTCTTTGATATGCCAAGTACATTGTTTTGCTTGCTACTGCTTTCCTGGTGGGTTGATTCCAGCAAGAAGATGGAGACTATGGACATTTGTTGTTTGAAGGCATCTAGTAGTCCACCTGCAACTTTCATTTAGCAATGTTTAGCTAATTTGCATGTGCCGAGCTCTCTCAAACTGGGTATGAATATTCAACTGCTAAATAAAGTGCAAGTGCAGTAGCTTGTAAAGTTGTTGGGTTGGCCCCTCTATTTGGAGCTGTTGAGTTTCTTTACACCACAAAGTAAGACTGAGAAAACAACATTTGAGGAATGTGCTAAAGAATTAAGCAGGATTTCAATAAGCTACAAAATTCACTGGTCTAAGAATTCCAAACCAAATTAAGAGAAAAATCTGCTTTCTTCATCCTTCTAGAGGACATTTAAGTCATCAATGACGACTGTAAATGAGGTTGTACATGAAAAAAAAATAAAAATAAAACAAACATAAATTACCAGAAACATACTACTTCTGTGTGACCCTAACAAATTTTTCTAGCCAAAGCAACAAAAGGGAAAAGGAAAGCAAGAAGTAGAGGAATACAAATTAATAAACAGAAAAAGATCAAAGATGGAAACAGGCCTGAACAATTAATACAATTATTGATGATACCTAAAAGACACTATCTCAAAATAAAAACAAACTTTTAAATACTTAGGAGTAATTGTTACAGAAGGCTCTAGATCAGACAAGGAGGTAAAAGACAACAATTGCAGTAGCAACAGAACTCTGCGAAAAACTGTCCAAGAGCTTTAAGGACATTAATTATTTCCACCAAAATAAAGTTTCATGGCTTCTTAGATTAAGAGTAAATGTCAACAGCCCTATAGGCAAGTGAAAGATAGACCTCGAATACAGCTACAGAAAGACAGATAAAAGTTTTTTAAATGAGATGCTAAAGACGCAACATGCAGCTCATAGGACACATCGTTTAGTGAGAGCTGCTGCTGTTGGAAAATTTTAAAGTCTCCTGGATATTGTAAAGTGAAAACTGAGTTGGTTTGGCCAAATTGTGAGATCCACTGGCAAACACAATGCTTCAAGGGAGGAGACAAAAAGACTAAGGAAAAGACAGCTAGATAAATATTACTGAAAGGACAAGAAAGGCCCCAATACAATTTATTACTTAGAATAGACAAAGAATTCTGTCGGACAATTTAGACAGAGGTGTTCCTGCCCTGAGCTCCAAATATCCCTGCCAGTCCTATTTTCCTATGATTCTATGTCAGTTACAGACAGAGGTTATAGGTGAGCTGTTACTATGGGGTCCTGTGACTTTGGAGGTTGTGGGAAACTATCACAGCAGAAGTTTATGTTCTTTAATATGCTTTTCTTTAATATGTTAGTAAACTTGTTTTAAATAGCATTTAACCTAAACTTGGCCTAACAAACATAAACTAATTATTATTTGATTGTACTTTATTTCCATGTGAAATTACTTCAAGGTTCAACAAAGGTTGTTTCATACATTTCCATGAGCAAGGATAGGTTTCTTTGTCTTACTTGAATGAAACATAAAATACACCAACGTAAGAATTAAACCACTCTTTATTAAAGTATATATTATTATACATCATATTTTGAATATAAACTAGCAAAAATAGAAAATTCAGTTTAGAATCAGTTAAAATTTATGCATCTTCTACACACAGAAGTATCTCGAAATTTCTATTAATATACACATTGATGAATTAAGCTGTGAAAAGTGACAGTGCTTTATGCTAGTCAGCCCAGGGTCAGGCTAATAAGAGAGAATCTTAATATAGACATCTATTCAGAAGATAATTTTTGCATGTGAGATACTTTAACATTTAAGAGCTCAAGCCTGCAATTTTTTACATTACAAACTATAACTGGGCAGAAAATAAGAAGAAAACTGAATAATTACTCCCTGTGTTTGGTTGAAATTTAGTATCCCAAAAATATCCCAAGCAATTCTACTCAGAACTCTCATTGACATCATTGGAAGTTATACATTACTACCAGAACTGAACCAAAATAATTTTTACCTACTACTTGGAACACATGTTCTTAAGACTTACGTAAACACATACAGGTCACATGCTTAAATGCTTTGGTGGAATGGGGACACAGTTAAGATTTACAGAAATATATGGTCAGTCATTTTGAAAGCTCTGTTAACTGCTAACTTTATAAACATTTATTTGGCAAGATTACATGTTAGTGGTGGTCTGGTAAACACAGGAATTTGTACAAATGCAAGCTCTGTACCTGATAGACACAAATACACTACATATGAATAAATCGTGGTTTGGACCAGACAGGGTAGTTAAGGCTTCTCTTAAAACGTACTGATTTTCTGAAGAAGGGTGTTTGTGCCCCAAAGCTTGCAAAGAACAATTTTTCCAACTATTTAGTTGGTCTAATAAAAGGTATCACATTTACCCAAAGAACCTTGTCTGGTCGTATCCAGCTCACTCTCCCTATCAGCATCCACACTGCCACTGTGTGACACAGGATACTGGGCAAGATGGACCTATCATCTCACCCAGTAAATGGCAGTTCTTATGCTGTTTTTACTCCTCCTTCATCCACCAAAATGCACTATTGTCCTGTAAAAAGAAAATGAAACCATCTATAAAATGCAAACTTTTAATATCCTTATCCATTATAAAAAAACACCACCCCTCAGCCTTGTCATGAGCTGTATTTTTTTTTTTTTTTTCAGCTCTGCCTTTATGATGAAAGTGATGATACAAGCTTTAACAATGTATAGTGATATAAATCAAGTTGCTAAAGTTTCAAGTGGTTGGGATAAAGAATTTTCACACAATCAGGACAGAGTGATATTTTTTAGAGAAAAAATGCAAGTTCAGGTTGATAAACTATTCGGGCTGAATTCAGTGAACAATTTTGAAATGGAAAAACAATTAAAATGTTACTTTTTGACATTTTAAAACTTGTTATAAAATTCCCAAAAACGAACAAACAAAATTATAAAGAAATATTTAAATCATTTCATATTTGAAATGGGAATTGCTGGCTTCAACACAGCAATAAACTTAAGCATGTGCTTAAGTGTCAGCGTTCGAGTTATCCCATTGAGACGGATTTTTATGGGTATTACACATGCAAACACATCAATTAAGTAGCTCACATACTTCAAGGTAAACATCTGTGTTAAGTGCTTTGCTGGATTTGGGCCAGCGTGCTCAACACTCTGCAGGATCGAGACCTTCAGCCCTGATCCAGCAATGTACTTAACCATGGGAGCAGTCCCATTGCTTGCATGAAGACTACTTGTGTGTTTAAAAGTTAAAGTTAGACATGTGCTTAAGTACTTTCCTGGAAGGGCCCTATCGACTGATATGGCATTAACTATAAAATCTGAAGCAGCATAACTTTAATACACTGCTCATTTAACATTTATCTGTTGAGCATTGCATTTCTTAGAATAAGGCGTGCCCAGTTAAAAATACATTTTTAGAAAGTGCATAAAAGGCTTTAAAAGCTGCTTTGAGATTAAGAGAAGTTAAAATAATGTAACCAAGCCTCTTTATGTTCCCTTCATTTCCTGCTCTGACGTCTTTGTACTGGCATCTAAAAAGACAAGGAAAAAAAAAACACAAACATTCATCTATTCAAATAAGAATAAAATTAAAGTTAGAGGTTGACAATCAAACTTCTGAATCCAAACATCACTGAAACTTTCTTAAATTCCAGACCTGCCTCCAAACTTTGCCACCCTGGTCCCCCTTCCTATGGGTAATAATCAAATTACTGAATGTTATTTCCACAAATAAAACCATTCTTTAATTTATGATAAGGTTAGATTCAAGTCCAACTCTGAAAGATTCCCCCAAGACAGCATTTTTGCAGGAAGTTTTCCGTACCCATTGAAGTCGGTCTGTTTGTGGTGTAAAGTCTTAAAAAGTGCAAACAAACAGAAAGTTTTATCCCCAAACAACAGAAGAAACATCAGACACTTGCATGTACATTTAATGAAGGCATGTTAACCAGGAAAATAAAGACTACATTTCCCTAATAATCCTGGCAATTATTTAATGCTAAACTAACCAAGCAACAAATATCACAGCAACACTTCATAATGACTTTCTACTACTGCTGGCCATTCATTTTAAATATATTTAAATCCTCATTGTGGTAGGAAACGTTATTTTATATATCTGGCACCGTATGCTTTTCATAATATCTTACAGCTACATGTTAAGGAAGTTCCAAAGTTACTAAATGCATTTTATTCTTTTCTAAAGGGAAAAGATTTTTTTAACGTGAAAGCTCTAATGCTTTTGAAAATGGCTTGTTTTTATAATGCATGTACTTTTGCAAGACCAAGAACACAGTTCCTAATAAAATTTCTGTTGTTATAAAAGTTACTGCATGTCTGACAGCTGAAGTTGAGATGTGACACACTAATGCAGAATGCATCTGTATTCACAGGAAGAGCTCCAGACTTGCCCTTGAGTGAAAGGATGAATGTAAAATTCATATACAAAAAAAAAAAGGAAGAAAGAAAAAAAAGGTGTACGAGATAAGAAATTAAGATATTTTCCATCTGCACATGACTTGGCCTGCAATCTAATTCCCACCAAATCAGAAAGATTAATTTGCCCATCTCTTAAGAACAATATTCACAAATCATTTAATTTATTAAAGGACTGGCTTCTAAAGCTCACTTCATAAAATCTCTTAAGCTTTAAAAGTATAAAGTGCAAAACCACAAGATCTAGTTATCTAAGGCCAACTCTGTTTTGTCTATACTTTAGTACCTTCTCTATCCTCACCCTTTTTTTTCCTATCATGATTTCCTATGTCCTGTGCTGCACTCAAACGTCTCTTCTGACTATTCTGTTTATTCACAGGGAAAGGGAAAGAGCTGTGACCTGAAATCACAAAGACCTATTCCTTCCTCCCGGAATTATTTCCCATATCTACACTTGAATGTTTGGATTTCCAGATTGGCCTCCACAGTCACCTATGGACTTCCATACTTTCTAGAAGACTGTCATTGTATTGATGGACTGCCACATCTGTTGTCAATCATTTTTAGCCTTTCCGTTAATATATACCAACTTCCTTTCTTCCTACTCTTCCCAGCATTTCTGAGATACCAATGATGTGAAGGTATAGTCCAGCTAGAACAGCCATCTAGAATAGTAGTCCAGCTAGAATAGCCACCTGCAGTCCAGCTAGAATAGCCTCCGACAGTACTGGCAGCGCCTGTGGGTGGTCCCCAATCACTGCTGGTTGCCGCTGCCGGCATCTGTGGGTGGTTGTCAACCACCGGTTGGCACTCATCACCCCCCGCCACTGACAATACTGTGGCTGCCTGCAGGAGCTCACTGCTCGCCGCCACCACACTCCTACTCACTGTGCCCCCCCAGCCTCCAGGGGCACAAGGCGTTCATGCTCTTACTTATTAGGTATATTGGGATCTGGGCATCTGACTCCCATATAGTTTCTCTGAAAATCTCAAACTTTGTCTTTAAATAATCATTTGCAAGTTACTTTAAAAAGAAGCTATGATTTTCTGAAGTTAAACACAACACATTCAAACACACAGATAAAATGTACGACCTTTCAGCAACTATGTAATTCTTCAAGGAACAGAAGTATATAGGGAAACACTACAAGTGTCACCACCTGCCTTAGACCCAACACAGTTCTACAAGTACAAAAACAAAACAAGCATTTGTTTCAAAAATCAATTTATTACAAGATAGTAATTTCAACATGTTTTGAGTTTGGCTACAGCATGTTAGAACAAAAACAAGGCAGGCATTTTCTCTGCAAAGATTCCCTACCCAAGCCTGTTCCCATGTCTTCTGTCTGGATCAATAAGGAACTCTTAGGCTAGAACTGTAACCCAATTTCATACAGTGTGTAAATCAAGAAAATGTAACACACTTACTGGAACTACAAAGCATGTTTCAGTAACCAATTAACAAAAGAAAGCTAACCAAAACAAACAAAAACTGTCTCCCCACCCCCACCAGAGATGGCTTTAGCACAATAATAACTATAAAAATAACAGTTTTAATAAAATACGTTCATTTTAGTCACAAGTCTTCATTTTTTTGCTTTAGGCTTTGAACTAAAGAAAGCAGAAATGGATTTCATCCCACTCTTGTCAACTTTGGCCAAAGCTTTCTGAGCTGCAGACATCTTGCTATTACTCTGTTAATGAAATTAAGAAAACAGGAAAAAAAAATTAACATGTCTACAGAATGGGATGCTAAGCTACAAAATCATGTATACTTAAGTCGAATCAGGGTTTGCCTGGTACATTTATTCCACTATAAGGAAATATGATACACTGAAAGGAAAATCCTTACAAAACAAATTTGAGATTATTCAACAGAAAGTAGTTGTCATGAATTACTTAACCTCAGGGGGAAGGGGAAAGAAAAAAAAGAAACCAACAGAATTTGTTACAAGGGCAAGGAGGCAAAATGTATCTCCACTCTGGAGAATGAGATATCCTAACTCAAACATTTACTTTGGAGTAATCCCTGAGTGTACATTAACAGGAATAATGCACGCACTATAACAGATGCATACTGTACCCTGCGACTCAATCTCATGATTATGTTGTCAGCAGGCCGAATTACAGCCTTGCATTACAGATGATGAATAATTCACACTGATTTACTATCAAACTCTTTTTAGTACAGTGAAATAAAGGGAAGGAGAGGAAAAGACACTAAACACCAAAGAAGGCAACCAAAATTTGCAAAGCATTCTAAGGCCACTGAGACAGCTTCCTGAAGACTTTTACACCTAAACCACATTTTATGAGGCACATTTTATAGAGCTGACCTTTTTCCTTTCCTACATTTTAAAACATAACTTTGAAATCTCTAGCTGTTTTTCCTATTAAGATATCTTTACACTGACCTTTCCTTACTTCTCATAATGTTGGACTTCCCCATTTTATTACTTAGGATCACTTTTAACATTAAAGACAGAGATATGCAGCACAGTAAGATTATCAGCATTTCACACAATGCAAACAAAAGCAGTGCCAAAATATTTTAGATCAGTACACTGTACAGAATTCAAGAATCAATTCTTCTTTCCCAGATTCTCTCAATGTACTTCATTATTTCAGAATTAAAACATGTCTAATGGTAAAGTGAATCAACTTTCTTTTATTTATTTTGTATATGTATGCCAAGTTCAAAAGCTACCTGCATGTTGTAAGTAGGGGAGAAAAACAAATGAAGATTTCAAATATTTCATAAACACCATGCATTCAGAAGAAATCCTGTCCTTTCTTTTGAGGTTACTGAGCGTCGCAGATACAAGAGGGCTTGGGAACAAAGAGAAGTGCCAAAGGACTGTGCAAAGCAGATACGTCACTCAAAAGAATCAACTGCCCTCCAGTCCTTGTAGAGTAGGAGTGTAAAACAACTATGGACATCAAGTGTCTTAGGGTCACAGAGCAGCATGGAGTGGCTCTACTGCTTGGCTACAAATACTCCTTTTTCACAGCAGGCACAGAACCACTTCAAGAGTGCACAAAGAGTGCACCCTTCAGAATGATACAGCAGTAGACTCTACTGGACTGAGCTTTGGACTAAACTCAAAACTCACAGTAAAACTGGCACATGAGGTAGCATGGTGTCGATTTACTTTATTTAAGTCAAGTGGCCAACCCACACATGCATAAGGCCTATTATAACATCTCTGGGAATTTAAGTTACTGTTGCCTTCTTTGCTGCTGCTTTCTTGTCCTGATACTCTGCCTGATAAGAAATCTTTATACTGCTGAAGGACCTTTGATCCATGCACCTCAAAGTGTTTTACAAACTTTAGCTAAGCCTGACAACATATTTGTGAAGTAGGAAGATATCTAGGGTCCATGGCTAAAATCCATCTGCCTCTGGATGGGAGCACAGCAGTTATTTAATTACAACACTACAAAGCATCTTAAGACTAGGCAATTATCAGGTTAAATTAAAAATGATGGGGGAGTTCAAGGAAACAGGCTAGTACTGCTTATTCTATTTTTCCAGGATTCTAAAATCAACATCCCTCCCATACCTCTAAGGAGAAGCACCTAGGGATCCTTCATGAAAATAAATGGTGAGGACTTTATAAGGCTTTTGATTTCCAACATTTTTTTCCAGTTTTATTCATATCAACTACATATATTAAAAAAAAAAACAACACACACTGGGCATGTCTACATGAGATGCTTTGAACACAGCAGACTAATTCTACTGCGTATTAGTGTAGCAGGAAAAACCTGTGCTACTGTGCAATAGAATTAGTCTACTGTCCATTAGCATCACCAAAAAAGCAGGCACTACAGCTAATGCGCAGTAGTGCAGATTACAACACATTAAGGTAGTACATGAAATTACAGGTACTAAACTTCATGTGTTGTAATTATGGCACATTAATGAACATGTAGACGTACCCACTGGCTTTGGAAGAAGACCTGGCAGGATTAAGGTGAATCTATCCACCACATAGTACATTGTTTTTGAAGTTTTTTTGCTCAGAACCTACAAAAGATACTTTCTGAAATCCTCCATTCTGTATTCGCTTTTAAAACAAAGAGGCATTCTACA